TGTTTCTCCTCTTGTGTAGGTGAGAAGCTCTGTGGTGATGAATATAATCAGTGCTGTGGCTGCTGGAGTAGCCGTCCTTCTGCTGTCTGTTGACATGATTCTTCCTTTTGATTATCACACTTATTATCAGGTGAAGGAAATCTGAGGACTTTTAACTGCTCTCATGGTTTTTTGATTCTCTTTACTAAAACAGAGCTGATTTTCATGGCTAGGTTTGGTGCTTCTCTGTTTTCCTAGCATCTGGTTTATTAGAGCTTCACTCAAGAAACAGCATTTACCTAGTTCTGAATATTATTTTTGTCATTTAAAAAAGTACTTTATTATTGCAAAGCATGTACTTTATTCAAAGTTCAAAGTGGTAAATAAATCACAGTCTACATTCTCAAAGCAACAGATCTGTGCGGTCAAAAATGAAAGATTGACCAATTGATACATCTGTTATAAACATACTAACCTTCTACAGTGGGTTTGCAATACTCTCAAGAATGAGATTTTAGGGCTTAACCCATCAAAATCCCAGGCTTATTACATAGTAACTACAGGGACTTCAATGGAAACTGGCTGAGCTATTCTGAGGTTATAGAGGTGTAAAACTTTGGGCCTGCTGGTAGGCCCAGACCATTTAAAGGTTGTAGAGTAGAAAATACCCTTCTGATGATGTATCTTGAAGATGGAGCATATGAGATCACTGAGATTGGACCTGCAAGTAAAGTCATCTACGGTCATCTGCTTTGGAAAGCCCCCCAACAGGCAGAATATGCATTTTTAGTGCCTCTTAGTGAGACATTAATATTCCCGTTTAGCCAATGCTTAACTATTTGATTTTTGATTACATATCTAATCGATTTACTTGTTAATTAAGGGTGTATTTATCCAAATTATCCATCAGTGACCTGAAATTTTTATTTTCTTAATTTGGCGTGACAAAGCCCACTTCTTATTCTTCATTTGCAGGATCGTAGAGCCCCTAAGCGAAGAGTGAGCATGTGTAAATAGCATCAAAATGTTCAGAGCCCATGTGTAAGAATACTGCTGCTTTTGATAAAACAATTAGGCTACCTGTCAGTTGGTCAGCTGCTTATCCTCAAGGAGGGTCACTTAAATGTAATATCAAGTGCAGAATAAAATCTTTTCTGTAATTCATGGGCTAATGATGTTTGGAGCGTGTCGCGTGGAATCAGTGGAGTGCTGCTGGTGTTCTCTCTGCTCGAGCTCATCATCTCTATCTGCACTTCTGCATTCGCCTGCAAAGCCACCTGCACAGCCTGCTGCCTCCAATAAATATGAAATAAATATGAAATACAGTGTGACTGTCTGTTGTTCTCTTGTTCATTTAACACAACGTGTTTTCTTTCTTCAGTGCTGTAAGTGAGCAGCCACACAATATTTACTGAGTGCACTATGGTGCGAGTGAGTGTGATCTTCTGTTAAGTCTTAATTTTATTTGTGTTAAGTTCTAAATATATTTCTGTTAAATCTTTATTTTATTTCTATTATTGTCTGTGTAACGGTTGAGGTGAGGAGGCGGGATGCAAATGCGAGTTGCTTTTATTCAAATTAAAGTTAGAGTCCAGAAACCGAGTAGAAGTTTGAAAAACAGGCAAGTCCATGACGAAAACAAAGTCAAACTACAAGATGTACAAAACCAAGAGACAAGGAAACACCAACATAGTAACATCCACAATGCAAGACAAAGACTGAACAAACACAGGGGTATAAATACACTGAGGGAAAATAAGAAACACATGGGACTAATGAGGGGCGGAGCACAGACAGGTGGCACAGATAAGGGGGACAACAACCACAACAACAACAAAGCACATGGTATAAGAAAGCAAAAAGGCACATGGCTACAACAGAGGGGAAGAAACAGACACTCAGAGGGGAAAAAGGAAGAATCCGTGACAGAACCCCCATCCTAACGCACAGCTCCCGAGGCACGAAAAACAAAAGGCCCTCCAAATTGGGAGCCGGTTAGGAGGAGGGACCGGGCAGGAGACAGGACATGAGACGAGACTGAAGACAAAAATGGAGAGAGAACAGGAGACTGGATAAACGGCAGAACAGAAGATGGAATTAACATAGACATGGGGACAGGAACAGACATGGTTACTGGGACATGGACAGAGACAGGAATGGGTACAATAAGACCAAACACCGAAACAGGAACACTGATTGAGATGGGTACAGATATGTACATGGTTACAGGGACAAAAACAAAACTATGGACCAGAGACTGGACAGACTTGGGGGAACACACAGATTTAAGAAGTTCATGTAGGCAAAGGAACTGGGTGACAGATTGAGCAGGGAACTGGAAAGGTAAGGAAAATGGTACTTGAGCAGGGAGCTGGGGAAACTTTGCAGGAGCAGAAACTGGGGCATCCCGGGGTGCAGGAGCAGGAGTGGCCCAGGGAGCAGGAACTGGGACTGGTGACGCTGAGGCCAGGGGCAGGTCTGGGGATGTAGAGGCTACCAGCAGGTCAGAGAACTCAGAAGCAACATCCTCGGAGGCAGGCTGGGCCGCTGCGACGTCCTCGGAGGCAGGCTGGGCCGCTGCGACGTCCTCAGAGGCAGCCGGGCCTGCTGCGACGTCCTCGGCTGCTGGCTGAGCGGACAGCAATGAAGCTTTTTTCTCCTTACTAGGGAGCAACAACTGAAGCCGACAAAGCATATGGTAACTCTCCTGAAGTCTGACTTCATTCTCCTTAATAAGGTCCTGTAAACTCGCTGCTTCCCTGTGTGGTCTTGCATTCTGTAACGGTTGAGGTGAGGAGGCGGGATGCAAATGCAAGTTGCTTTTATTCAAATTAAAGTTAGAGTCCAGAAACTGAGTAGAAGTTTGAAAAACAGGCAAAAACGGACACTCAGAGGGGAAAAAGGAAGAATCCGTGACAGTCTGACTTAATTTTTCTGTTACGTCTTTGTTAAGTACTAATTTTTTGTTGTTGTTGTTGTTGAGTTCTAAAGATATTTCTGTTAAATTCTTATTTTATTTCTATTATGGCCTGATTTATTTTTTTGTTAAGTCCTAATTTTAATTTTAGGTCCTAATTTTATTTATTTTTTTTTGTTAAGTTCTAAATGTATTTCTGTTAAATCCTTATTTTATTTCTATTATGGCCTGATTTTATTTTTCTGTTAAGTCCTAAATGTATTTCTGTTAACTTCTACATTTACTTCTGTTAACTTCTAAATTAATTTCTGTCCTAAACTCGAAAGGTGAATTTTCCTGGTTGTGGGACTGATAAAGGATTATCTTATCTTAAATGTATATATCATTAGAATAAATACAAATAAACATAAATACAGTAATCTGTGCTGGTTTTAGTAAAGTAATGAATATATTGGGATAATTCAGCCAGAATAACACAGATTTGGTTCCTCAATTAATTGTTTATTTGTATTCCTTGTGGTAGTGTATTAGTGTTATTTAGTGTTAAAAAAACAAATGTTAAAAATGTCCTGATTTCTTCTGCTTTTGCTATTTTGTCACATTTAATTTTTTTAGATTATCCAACTTATTTTAATGTAAGATAAGGACAACACATGTAAACACAAAATGCCGCTCTTTAATGATCATTCCATTTATTGAAGATAAATATGTACTTAAAGTCTATATCACCCATATAAAAAAGTAATTGCCCCCTAAACCTAATAACTGCTTCTGCCACCCTTGGCAGTAACAACTGCAATCAAACAATTGCGATTCCTTCCAATGAGTCTTTTACTTTGCTGTGGAGGGATTTTGGCCCACTCTTCTTTTCAGAGTTGTTTTAATTCAGCTACATTTGAGGGTCTTACCATAGCATCTCAATGGGATCTGAGTCAGGACTTTGACTCGGCCTCTCCAAAACCTTTTTTGAGCCATTCAGAGGTGGACTTGCTTGTGTGTTTCAGATCATTGTCCTGCTGCATAACCCAAGTGTGCTTGAGCTTTAGGTCACAAACTGACAGGCAGACATTCCCCTTCAGGATTTTCTGACAGAGGGCAGAAATCATGGTTCCATCAATTAGGACAAGTCATCCAGGTCCTGCAAAAGCAAAGTAGCCCAATACCATAAAACTACCACCACCATGTTTGACTGTTGGTATGATGTTCTTACAGCAGAATGTGGTGTTTGCTTTACGACAAATGTAACAGGACCCATTTCTTCTTTGACTCATCAGTTCACAGAACAGGCAGTCTATGAGAATTAAACTGAGGTAAGTGAGGCCTGCAGTTCTTTAGATTTCCATCTGGGATTTTTTGTGACCTCCTGGATGAGGTGTCTATTCTCTGTCCACAAAATTTTGGATGGCTGGTTATTCCTGGTCGTCCCTAGATTTCAGTGACCTAGCTTCGAATCTGTATTTCATTTTTATTTTAGAATGTGGCGTCATGTGCTGCTTTTTCAGACCTTCTAGCCTGCTTCTATGTAAGTGATGTTTAGATTCAACAGGTCTGGCAGTAATCATGCCTGGGTGTGGCTAGTGAAATAGAACCCAATAGTCAATTGAGTTTGCTCAACTGGTTGATTTAGTAGCTAAGGGGTCAATTCCTTTTTTCACATAGGGCTGGACAGCATTTTTCTACAATAATTGAATCATTTTATGTTTACTTGGGTTATCATACTCTACTATTAAAAGTAGTTTAATGATGTGAAACATTCAAGTGCAACAAATATGTAAAAATAGAAGAAATTTGGAAGGGGCAAAAATTTTAACAGCGGTATTGCTAGTGAGTGGAATAGGAAGTGGCTACACTGGGGAGAAAATTGGGGGGCAAAAAAAAAACATCTGCAGAAAAATGGCATATTTAAGTGAGCTCTCTGTAGACTTTTATTCACTTAGAAAGTCTGCTAAAAGTGTAATTTGAACAAGGGTGTTCAAACTTCTGCATATTTTGGCATTATGTTTTTATATGTAGCTGAATTCAGAAGTGAGTGGGCTGTAGAAAAACTTAGATGACAATTAAAGCATTTAGGTCAATCAGCCACAACCCCTGCTCACAGAAAACATTTCTGTAGTTACTTTCCACACCAGCAGTGGTTTCCTGCAGATGAAGATCACTGAGCTAACAGTAACAGACTTCATCATCAGGTAAATAGCACTTTTGTTTCATTCTATTTACTACAGTTCTAATATTATTCTAAAGATAAAAACATTTCTAATGCAGATCAGCTTTTGTATGTGTCTCTGTGTCTGTGTTAGAACATAAATGACTAATTTGCTAATAAATGCATTTATGGTTTCAACCAACAAACTGTAGTGAAAAGTGGAAGTGATTTAATTTTTAAATTGTAAAATGTAAAAATGCCATTAAACATTGATTTAAAATTGATTAAGAATCCTAAAAATGATTTATGAAATTAAATTGTCACTAAAATGAAACTGTTGTTGAGAAAAGGTTTAAAGGTTTAGCCTAAAATTGCTTCACTGTCCCCAAAAATGTTTTTAATCTTTTTTAATACTCATTGAAAAAGTCAAAGTTCAAACAATAAAACACAGACATCCAGCAACATCAATCAAGTAGATTTTGTTCATACAGTCATATGCAATAATTTGGGCACCCTGGTCAAATTGCATGTTTTGTTAATTTTCTAAGTGTAAATAAATGAAAACATCCTCTGCAGAGAACTTTTGCACTTTTTAATGCAGATTTCAATTGCTGTCTATTTGCTGAAGTTGCTCAAATTAGCTAAAATTAAACTAAAAGATAAAATGTGTCCTGTGGAAGTTTTGTTTTATTTTTTGTAATATGGTAAACGAGCAAATGAATAGAAATTGTGCACTAAAATTTACAGTCAAATTACATACATACATAAGTGTATTCAACATAGAGGACATGTTAACTTATTTTCACTTAAAAAAGTCAACAAAATGTGTTGGTAGCCTCTTATTCTCCAGAGTGTATTTTGGTTTTTCCATCTGAATTTACAGAACCAAATCGTAAGGCAAATTATTCAGTAACTGCATGAAATAAAATTGATCTTTTAAATTTATTTATTTTAAAACTCCCCTCAAATTAACAGAACGTGTTTTATGATACACATATTGCTATATGCTTACAATTTACTGCTGAAAGCCAAAAATCCTAGATGCTCTTTGTATTTTTTTATAAAAATAATTTTTCCAGAGCAGATCACTGAAGAGATACCATCTGTTTATAGTTTATAGCCCAGATTTGTGGAAAAATGGGTCAACTTTCAGCAGATGAAAAAGAGTTCAGCTTCTTTTATTATAAGGGTTTAAAATTACATTACCCATCTATTTGACTATTTGAAGAATATGACGAAGTGCATTTTTGAACCACCGGTGGTTCCAAGGAATTTAAGAGGTTAAGCAGGGGGGCCAAAACATTTTCTTATGACTATATTGTTCTTTTCTGAAATCACACTATTTCAGTGTATTTTCTCATTATTGAGAAGAATTGCATGCAGAATTGGATCTTTCTGTGAGCTACTGTGTTTCCTATCACTGTGTAAAAGAAGCTCTATGCTGCCCTTATTGTTGAAGGCATGGCAACAGATTTAGAGCTCCTTTTATATCACTATGGAAACGCATATTGATCTGCTTCATCAGAGTAAAAATAAAAGGCCAGTGAAGTGTGTCGTAGTCATGTGTTTACTTGTTTAAAATGTGATGGAAACAAAGGTTATTAGATGATGTTCTTTATATATCAAAGTAAATATGATGTCACATTGAGAGAAATACATGAGAGAAGAATGTTTTTAAAGGCAGAATTGGCTGCTTTGTTTGTATGCATTTAAAGATTGACAATGTTATTACTTGATCTGTAGTTATAAGAGGATAAAAGTGAATGAAAATTCAGATTCATTAAAAGCACTGCCAGATTTATCGATTTACCATAACACGTTTGCTCATTCATAAACAAGGATTACAGGCAAATTTAACCACGTGTGCAATGTGAGATGTTGCTGTGCTTTTACCCATTTAACTTGCATCCATAATATGACACATGAAATCCCACACAAAATAACGCCTGAACCACTCTGGCCGTAATTTTCCCCACAAATGGATTAAATTAGGTGTTTTACAATCTCTTTTTTTACAAATTCCTCTCACACTTTCAGCTGACCCTGTACTTAAAACAGCCTTTCTATCTGCATCAAATTAAGTATATGGTCCATTGAAATTTACAAAGGCTATGCTGTGCTTTATTTACAGCAAAGAGCTAAATCTTTATAAAAATCAACATTCATAGTGTTCTTTCTATTGGAGGTGTTTGTTCCAAACCCTAACACCTAAAGTGACACTTGTAAAAATACATTCATGGCATTTGGCGGACACTCTTATCCAGAGCAACTTACAATTTGATCATTTTTACACAGGTAGGCAAATGTAGTGTTCAGAGTCTTGCCCAAGGACTCTTATTAGTATAGTGTAGGGGGCTTACCAAGGTGGGGGATTGAACCCCAGTCTACGTCATAGAGGGCAGAGTTGTTACCCACTACACTATACCAACCATAAAATACCTACATTTTTTCTATTATTATTTTCCTTATTGTTTTAAACAGTCTTTCTCAATTTCATTTAAAGTTAAGAGGAAAGATTTGGATTTATCATAAATTTAATGTTTTAAACAAAATGTTATCCCACATTTTCATGTCAAAACACAAGAGTTTTAGTCCATTGGTGGAGCCTAAGTCTGAAAATCAGTGTGGAACATTTAGAATTGTCACTACCGAAACACATCATTTCTGCAAACAAGTAAACGTTTTTGTATTTTAATGAAAAACTTTATGATTTATTGTGTGTATAGCTGTTCGAAGCTGTGTTTGCTAGTCATGAACTGGCTGCATTAATGAGTTCCGCTCAAAATGAACTAAAATTGTCACTATCGAAACTGCCACTAATGAAAAAAATTTCGGTAGTGTTTTCATTGTATTAGTGGTGAAAAATAGAATATTCAATCATTTTTTTAATACAGTAAACTTCATTAAGGTACAGTGTAACTCAATGTTTTACTCTAAAGTCAGTTACTTTTCAGCTCTGACGTTGAATCAATATGGTACAATGATCCATGTACGTCTGTATTCTGTCGGGACCAAAGTCTATCCCCTTCAACCCCAGGCCTCCAACATAATATTATGAATAAAAAGAAATCTTTCAATACTGGCTAAACACTTACACTAATAACTGTTCTAAGTCTAAGTTCTCAAAAGATGTTAAAAAGGAAAGAGTCTTCAGACGCTGAGTTTGTGGAAGAGGGAAAAGGCATCTTCTTTATTCTTTATTTCAGCATCAAGAGACCCCAACTGCACAAATACAGTGTTCCAAACAACAGTTTATTATATACCATTTATCTGGGGTAATTTGATATCCCCCCACCTAACTTCTCAAATTTTGATATTAGCTCATTCTTTAATAGGTGCGTCTCCATCAATTTGGTTATCGCATGATGACCTCACTCCTAAAAACTGGTTTCAACAGGTTTTTACCAGCCTGCTCTAACTTGCCCCTCTCTTCACTGGGTCAGTAGGTACACACAGGCCTGTCTTTGAACCCAGTGGCTGTCCAGTGTCTAGAATCTTCTATGCAGACAGACTAAGGCCTACCCTTTGTGAGAGAATTAATATTCTCTGTTAGTCAATAATATCTATTTGGTTATTGATTACAACATCTAATCTATTTGATTACTGATTAAGGGAATATTTATTCAAAATCTCTGTCATTTCACCCCTTTTCATGGTTTGCCGTGAACCTTATAATTGATTGTGTTTAACATACCAAACACTGAGTAATGCCGAATTACATAATATAAATGTTGAATGAGTAAAATAATATCAAAATAAGTGAAGAAAAATGAATAAAATAAATAAGTAAGTAGTTAAAAACAAAAACTTTTACAAAAATGATTACTGATTAAGGGAATATTTATTCAAAATCTCCATCAATTCATTGAATTAATATTCAATAGTAACAGAACCACAATAATAGACACAATTATTCAGTCAAATTCTAATTGTGGTGAAATCTGAAATACCAAAATGTGTTGAATCAATTCATAATCATTAATCAAAAAGAATAATTATGGCGTTAGAAATGTAATCCTCTACACTCTCAGAAATAACAGTATAAAACTGTCACTGGGGCAGGAACCCCTCTTGTTACTGGGGTGGGACCCTCAAGGGTACATCTCAGTACCTTTAGTCAGGAAACATAACTGATATATACATATAACATAACAAATATATACTTTTACACTAGGAAAAACTTATTTAAGGTGCACAATTGGACCATAAAACCACTGCTGTACCTCTGAGGCTACATTTACATTGTTTGTACCATAATGAACAAAAAATGTACCTGAACAGAACCTTTATTTCTAACAGTGTATAGACTGCATTGCATTTCATTTTCTTAGAATTAACTGACATTTATTGGTGTTTAATAATTATTTATAAATATTTTATTTCTTCCAGTACAATAAAATAAATCATAGAACAAGTGAGAACACTCACTGATCATAGTTGGCAATGTTTCCATCTTTCAATGCTGGAAAATCAGATTCATTTCAGTAAATTTCACACTGACTTTGTTGTCATTAGATTTCATACAGGTTTGTGTTCAGGATGGCCTCCAGTTTTGTACCTGTTGAAAACACAAGAAATGGCTTCACCATCGTGACCCAAGTGGTACCAGGAGGAACAGAGCAATCTGGCCTCGGGACTGGAGTCTCCACTGGAGGCCCAGTTAAAAAACTTCTGAAAGGAGAGCCGAAGGCACTGGGGGTAAAACAGTTCTGGCCTAGTTTTCTTTAATATTTACACCAAGCATGTTTACATGTTACTTTGCTCTGATTGTCTCTTGCTCTCACAGACTGTCCAGATAATGATCGGGATCATGACGTTCTTATTTGGCATTGTTAAAACGGTCTATGTCCCAAGTGCGGGTGCCTATAGTGGTGTCATCTACTGGGGATCATGTATTGTAGGTTATTTTGTGTATCCTTCGTATTCCTGTAGTTCTCGATTGTAGTTTTATTCAGACGTGATAAAAATAGAAAATAATCTAATTTTCAGACCTAACTTTCATTCTTCTTCTTCTTCTTCTATGCTAGTATATCACCTCAGGTTCTTTGTCTGTTGCTGCAGGCAACAAAGCTAATACCTGTGCGGTAAGTAAACACAGCCTGTATAGTATTGTTATCATATTAGTGAGATTTCATTCTTAATTAATAAGCTTGGAAAGACAAATGCTTAAATAAAAATAATGTTTAAATAAAGTTTAAACTCAATGGCAGCTTTATCAGAAGCCCCTCTCTTTCACACCTTGCTGGTTTACAGTTATAAACTCTAGCTCAGCTACTGATTCACATTTTGCTTCTAATAAAGTGAGAATAAAATATTTCAAGTGAAATTTAATGTCCAGGTATTTAATATATATGTAGCATATATATATATCTGTGAATTGTTCTGCCTTTTATGCTGTTGTCTCTTTATGTTTCTCCTCTCGTGTAGGTGAGAAGCTCTCTGGTGATGAATATAATCAGCGCCGTGGCTGCAGGAGTAACCATGGCTCTGCTGTCCACTGACATAGGCTTACAGCTAACTGATATATATTACAGCTGTTCATACGGGTATCATTCAAGTTCATACGGGTCTTCTTATGGACAGAGCGAGCTGTGTGAAGCTGTGTGGGTGTGTATCTCTCTAGTCAAATTGCTCTAAACGTGCTGCCAGTTTAACTGACAAATTTTGTCAATGTTATATTTGGTTATACTTTACATTAGGGGCCGCAAATTAATTCATAATGATTCACTAAGTAATTAAATACTCATTATTTACATGTTGATTAACTACTCAATGAGCATTTGTTCACAGATTATTTACTTATTTATTTTGAAATGTGTTATCGTTGGGTTCAGCTTTTTCTCATGTAGCAAAGATTCTTTTGTGGAAAATGGACTCTTTTCTGCAGTTAACAGGTAAATGTTTTTCAGGGTCAGTCAGGTGGAATCAGTGGAGTGCTGCTGGTGTTCTCTCTGCTCGAGTTCATCATCTCCATCTGCACTTCTGCGTTCGCCTGCAAAGCCATCTGCTGCGCTGAATCTCCGGTCAGTGAGACATCTTTGTTGTGTTTTTAAATATTTGACTGACAGCTGAATGTTCATGAATTGTTCTTTTTTGTTACAGACCATGATTCACCTCAACAATCCTGAAAGACGCCATCTGGCTGTAAACGTTTAAAATTTGAAAGAAAATTTCAAAGGAGGAAACTATTTTTCTGAACGAATTCCTCTTATGTTGTAAATGTATGTGTGTGAAGTTCTGAAGCTATATTTCTTAAGTCCTATTTTCGTCTTCTAAATTCTTTTTTATAGTAAGTTCTACATTCATTTCTGTTAAGTGCTAAATTTTTTGACTGTTAAATTCTAAATTCATTTCTCTTAAGTTGTAAATTTAGTTATTTTAACTTATATGTTTTTTGCTGTTCAGTTCTAAATTTATGTTGTGCTTTAAAGTTTTAAATTAATTCCTGTGATGTTCTAAATGTATTTTCAAATTTATTTCTGTTAAGTCTTAAATTTTTTTTATCTTCTAAGTTTTTCTCTTAAATTCTAAATTGATTGTGGTTAAGCCTTACATTACATTTCTGTATTTTAAATACTACATCTATTTTTTCCTAAATTTTAACGTTAGTTTAAAGATATTTAGCTTAGCATGCATTGTGGCAGGAAAAACACCCACACCACTTACACACAAAATAATGTAGAATCGTGTGTGGGGTATTTAGGTCAGTCAGTCACAGCTGCCCACACATAAACAGGTCTATCAAAACCTCCAGCGTTTTTTTTTGTGTGTCTCCTTCTGTGTGGTTTTGTTCTGGTATTATTGTCAAGATAAAACATTTCTACTGCTGATCTACTGTGTGTGTGTGTGTGTGTGTGTGTGTGTGTGTGTGTGTGTGTGTGTGTGACAAAGTAAAAAAAAATGATGTGTTTGCTAATAAACAGATTTTTCTTTTAGTTGATGAACTTTGGCTGTACATCATAGCTGAGTGATTTCATTTTCATTTCATTTTGCAAATTAATATGCAAAAAATATGACTCTCATGAAATTATTTTAAGATGAAAATATTTGTTTTGGCCCTGATATTATTTAAAATAAATAACAATAATGTCAGCTGGCTAATATCAGTCAATGGATTTTAGTTGAGTGAGTTAACTTCGAACTTTAAGGTTAAGCGCTTGGAATATATATACATACACCTAACAATACACCCCTTTCACTCTGTTCTTCAATGGTCAGGACCACCACAGGACCTCCACAGAGCAGGTACTATTTGGGTGGTGGATCATTCTCAGCACTGCAGTAACACTGATGTGGTGGTGGTGTGTTAGTGTGTGTTGCGCTGGTGTGAGTGGATCAGACACAGCAGTGCTGCTGGAGTTTTTAAACACCTCAGTGTCACTGCTGGACTGAGAATAGTCCACCAACCAAAAATATCCAGCCAACAGCGTCCTGTGGGCAGCATCCTGTGACCACTGATGAAAGACTAGAGGATGATTAACACAAACTGTGCAGCAGCAGATGAGCTATCGTCTCTGACTTTACATCTACACGGTGGACTGACAAGGTAGGAGTGTCTAATAGTGGACAGTGAGTGGACATAGTGTTTTAAAAACTCCATCAGCACTGCTGTGTCTGATCCACTCGTACCAGCACAACACATATTAACACACCATTGCCACGTCAGGGTTACTGCAGTGCTGAGAATGATCCTCCACCCAAATAGTACCTGCTCTGTGAGTGACCACTGCATTGAAAACATAAAAGATTATTTTGCTTTGATGGATGATGTGAAGTTGTAAACTATATCAGTAAAAATACAACTTTCAAATATTATATATATTACATATATTATTATATATTACATATTATGTTGTGTATAACATACACTCATATACATATACACATAATACATATAACACACACACATATATATATATATATATATATATGTATATATGTATATATATATATATATATATATATATATATATATATATATATATATATATAACATTTTTCTAATACGTATAGTACCAACTGTCAGAACAAATATCATATTAGGTATTATTTGTAAAATGAGCAAATATTTGACAAATTTAATGTATATTTCTCACCTCATTTAGGGCCAGCATTAGTTAAAGAAATCAGAAGTAAATGTAATTACAAGTTTGAAGTAATAAGTAAAGTGATCTCAGAGAATTAGTGATTTGTAATGGAATATTTTTGCTACCGGTCAGTGATGGGTCAGCTTCTTATTTTGGAGCATAACCTTAGTTTTGTGTTTTAGAGCAGATTTTTTGTCCAGCTGAAACTTTAAAAGGCCTGTTTTGGACCCTGTGTGAGTTTGTTAACCTCCCTGAGGGGTGTGTTTGTTTATTGCTTCCCCAAACACTAAAATTGGCTTCAATGTAAAAATGCACACACTACAAAAGTAATACTGAACCTATGAGTGTGAGGTTTCAGGGGTGTCATGTACTGACAACTGTGCCCCCCCTCATTTTTAAAATGACTGTTTTGCCCCTGGCATTATTTACCGAGAGGTGCAGAGGAGAATTTGGCCGGCCTGAAGGTCTGCAAAACTAGGCTCAACTGGTCTTGTTCTAATATTTGAACGAAATCTCAAATGGATGAGCAATAAAGAATGTTTTAGAGGCTGTTTTGCTGTTGGTTGTGAAAGGGATCATTATGAAGGTACGAGTAAAAGAAAAACAATTAACTAGTAGTAAAATCAGTAAAGGAAAAAAAGGACATAGAAAGTAAGACTACAGTTGGGTCATTTAGGCCAGTCAGCCACATCTCCCACCCACAAAGTTTCCAAACCTGCAGTGGTTTCCTGCAGATGAAGAGCGCTAAACCAACAGGAGCAGAGTTCATCTTCAGCTAAATAGTATTTAGTTTCCCTTTATTTAGTTTGGTTCTGACATTATTCTAAAATAAAAACATTTCTAATGCTTAACTAATTGTGTGTGTGTGTGTGTGTGGTGTGTGTGTGTGTGTGTGTGTGTGTGTGTGTGCGTGTTAAAAATACTAAAATGTTTAGCTTACTAATGTATTAATTAATGCAGTGAACAGACTGTAGCTGTAAATCTCAGATGAGTGGCTTAATTTGTACTTTAAAATTTACCAAATGTCAAGACATACATCTTTACAATGTTTGTAATTTGGACAAAAATATCCTGCTAAAGACAAAGGATATTCTTCACCTGCACTGTGGAATTAAGATGATACTAAAATGAAAATATAAATGATATTATTGGGGAAATATATTAAAAGTTTAGGCAGAATTTTTTTGTCTCTCAAATTTTTTAATACAATGTCAAAGTAATGTGTTCCTTCCAGCAGCCAGCACTATTAGTGACGTTCATACAGTCATCTCTGGGCAGCCTTGGTTGAATTAAGGTTTTGTTGATTTTCTATGTGCAAAATATAAACTTCAAAATAAAAGATTAACTTCAAAAGAAAATATTAATTAATGTAATTAATTGTTGTTTTTTTCTGAATTGAACATATCAGCAAAAAGCTACTGTATTTTCTATGACAGTATAAAAGAATCTCCATGCTGGATGCACTGTGATAGTTTCAGATTGCCTTTCACATCACTACCGAAATGCTTAATGACCTGCTATACCGAAGTAACAATAAAAGGTCACTGAAGCGGCAGCACAGTACAGTTCTATGTAAATGCTTGTTTAAAGTGATAATTTTGATGCAAACTAAATAAAAATGGAGGAATTTTCAGCTTTGGTAGCTCATATTTGTTTTATATCAAAGTAAATAGGATTTCACACTGAGAAGTCATGGACAAAAATATATTTAAATGCAGACGTAACTAGAATCACTTTATAATATGATTCCTTAGAAAAATAAATAAAAATAAGGTCTAATTTGCGGGACAAAAAACACAAACACAAAGCTGCAGGGCACAACATTCCATCCGGATCACCTTGTGGTACTGGGCCCAAAGAGATGGATGGATGGATGGACGGACAGATGGACGGATGGACAAATAGATAGATAGATAGATAGATAGATAGATAAATAGACAGACAGATAGATACTTTATTGATCCCAAAGGAAATTGAAGGTCCTGGTGCGAGTAACCGTTCTTTGTGGACATTGTTGGTAATCAGGAGTGATTATATGTGTTAAACTGTTCAAAGCAGTGTTTGCTGGTCATTAACTTGCTTTTGAGTTTTGCTAAAAATGAGTGAAATTTTTTACTACTGAAATATTTTGTAAAGTTTTGATAGTGACAAGATGGAATGTTCAATCATATGTTTTAGTACAAATCAGATTCCAAAAAAGTTGGGACAATAGGTGAGATGCAAATAAAGACAGGAAGCAGAGATTTATAAATCTACTTTGACTTGTATTTGAACAAAAACAATACAAAAACGATATATTTCATGGTTTATCTTATCAACTTGTTTTTTGCTTCGTGTTCATTATGAAATGCGTTCATTCTGAAGTTGATCCCTGCAACACATTCAAAAACATCTTAAACAGGTGTTGATATCAGCCTGGAAATGAAAGAAGCATCCAAGACAGTCTGAGTCCTTTATGATCAAGGATGGTTGAGGCTTGCCATTTTGTGAAAAATGCAAAAAATCCAATAGTCTACATATAACATTCCTCAGTGAGAAACTGCATATATTTTTCTATTTCACCCTCAACAATGCAGAAGATCATACAAGCTTACAGTGAGTCTGGTGGAATCTCTATGTGTAAAGAACAAGGCCAAAAACCACTTCTCAGATGACACTGCACTAAAAACAGGTATGTTTCTGTGTTGCATATCAGCACATGGGCTCAGGAATTTATTAACAAATTGTTATTAATAAACACTGTTCATCGCTGCATGCACAAATGCGAGTTAAGATTGGACTATGCACAGTGGAAGTCATATATCAACAACATCAGAAACGCTGCCGACTGTTAACAGGTGTCGCCCATAGCCTACAGTTTACCCTTTTAAATAAAGCCTAGCGTAGCTGCTGGTTTGGAGATAAACAGTTGTGAACGGCTGTGATACAAAAAATCTAGTCTGATACAGGTTCTTCAAAAACTCTGGACAGTGATTCTCTCGCGCTGTCACTGTTTAAGCTGACTGGCCTGATCTGATCCCTCCCCATCTCCCTGCCCTCTGTGTGTGTGTGTGTGTGTGTGTGTGTGTGTGTGTGTGTGTGTGTGTGTGTGTGTGTCTCTCTCTCTCTCTCTCTCTGTCTGTAGAGGTTTATACCTGTTAATGTAAGCTAGAGTCCAGGACTCACTAAAATTAC